TGAGGACTTAAATAATAACGGTTGGGATCATGAGATGATACCGTAGAATGAACCCAAACAAATGCTCAGTTGAATTCTACTTAAACCAAATATATTCTAACTTTCGAAAAACAAAACCACCCTTTCCTAGGATAACATTCTCCAGAAAATTGTAAATAATCCACTTTAGAACAAATCTGCACAATCTAAATCCATCATAATTACCAGGGAAAAAACACAATGACAAGGTGCTCTATACCATCAGAAATATATAACCCATACCATAATTCAATCTAGAACTAAAATCATATCTATCGAACAGCCTACAAACAAATTTCATCTAGATGTATCATCTAACCGGACACAAAATGAAAAGGAAGGGGGTATCTATCCGGACTCAAAATAAAGACAGGGGAGTCCTAACTGGATACAGCTGTGCAACTACAACTTTTGAAGAATGCTTGACCCACCTTGATCCACCATTACATTTGGACAAGTTGAAAACTTCTCTTAACAATCCTTCGTTACAGATTGGTTGACCTCTGACGCATTATCTTTCTGGCTGGGAGAAGTCATGGATCCTCCCATTTTCAAGTCCCCACTTTGTTGTTGCTGTTGCTGTTGCTGCTGCTGCTGCATCTGTTGCTGCTGAAGTTGATGCAGTTGATGCTGCTGAAACTGATGCTGCTGCTTCTGAGATTGAATTTGGAGCTGTTGAAACTGCTGTGCAGTTAGAAGAGTGTGCATAGCCTGATTGTTCGGATAGAATTGCTGGCCGGAACCAAAAGAAGCAAAGTTCATCATAGGCCCACCATTTGGCATAGCTTGGCCAGTCAGAACTTTCAGATGCTGAATTTCCTCTTTCAGTGCATCATTCAGTGCTACAAGACAAACAAAACAATACTTTTTTTTATAAGTCAATTTCATTTGCAAAAGGACCAAGAACAAACAGGAAGTTATATGGACCCAGAACAGCAAGAAAACCTATATTACATTGCTGTTCCAATACTCCATGAACAAGACGTTATTGTTTTTCATTTTGTTCCCTGTGTGCCAGTATCAGAACGAAGTAAACTCGTGCATTGGATGTCAACTGGTTCAAGTACCATATTGGATTACTTCATTCCTCCATATTCAATTTTCAAACTAAAGTAATTAAATTTCCAATGATGGGGGTAGTTCACTTCAGGTTGGCCAACTCATGCAATAAAAACACTAAACCCATACGAAAATATACAAAGAACCTTTTTATTTAAGTTAATTTCATTACCTTCTGGATCAGTTGAGTAAACAAACAATCATAAACTCGTGATGCAAAAGTAAATGTCAAGGGAAAACCAAAGTTCTTTGTATAATCTTATAACATAAGAATACGAGAAATTAGATATTTTGTAAATGTACATGCAGCAAGATGTCATCATAAACAGAAGAAACCGATTTTTATTTAAGTTATCAATAGTAAACAATGTCTGCTAACCTACCTTATGATCTCTAACAAAAATGAAGTATATTTATGTAAGCATCTACTTATTACATTGTCCATTTTGTACAACATTTATTGTTATTGTGTCAGCGTCCTTGCATCATGCTAAAGGGAGAAGGCCTTAGAGGTGAAACTTTCAAAATCCCGCAAACTACCCTTGTTTAATTAAATTACTAGAGACGACAATTTAATATAATAAACAAAAATTAGTAAAACAAAATCGTTCAAATAAAAAATTCTAAAGAATTACAAAATTAAACCCCGTATAGTGGGGTGTTACCACCTCCCACTCCTTTCTTTTCATTAGTTTTTGTTTTTGGTCTTTATTTCTTCTTATTTTTATATTAAATTACTCTAAAAAAAATATCTACACGATAATTATTTTAAAAAGCCAATTCGCGCACGAGTGAGAGCGTGCTAAGAGGCTTGTATAAAAAGAACATGAAAAAGATATAGAATATAAAAATTACATGAATATTAATTCTAATCGTGAAAGGAAAAGGGGCCTCACCATCTTGCAAGTGAACCTGTTGCTCCATTGTTTGCAAGCGCAGTTTCAGTTCACTGTTCTCAGCAGTCAGACCATTTGTATCTCTCTGCTCATAAGAAATCCATAAGAACAGTCATTTACATCCTCAACACGTAAGCAATATATGAATCATAAGTTAAGACAGCTGCGCAGACCAATAAAGAGAAACTGAACATTCATTTTTTAACAAAAAACTATGATAAGCCGATGCAATTTACCTGTAAGAGAGTCAATTGAGCAGACAAGGAAGTAGCTTCTGTTTGCAAGGTCTGAACTTTCTGCTCAAGCTCAGCAATGTACCGCATTTTCCTTTCCTTTGACCTTGCAGCTGACTGCCTATTTGCCCAGATCCTAACGCATGGCAATCAAGGGGTAAATATTAAGCACAATGATAATATTAAGCACAATGATGATGTTAAAGTAGAAGGGAAAACAAGGTACACGATCATTTATTTAAATTCCATCATGGGAAAATAACGAGGGGAATATACATGCTTGATAGATAGATAGATAGAAAATAATTATTAAAAAATCATAAAGGTTGCTTGTGCTCATTGAAACACCATTTTCAAGGTAAGAGTAATATATGTTGAGTGATACTGATAAACATATAGGAACTATGTTCCACAACATCTTGGGCAAATGGTTTGAACAACATGACGATGGTTTTGATATCTTAGGATAGAACAAAAGTATATAAGATCAATACTTAACAAAGGAATGGACATAAAACTAGTTTTCAATTACCAATGACACCACAAGGGATGCCTGTAGTAATTTTCCTACAAGAACCCCAGAACAACGTTTCTATTGAACTCCTATTGAGGTATCTTAGTCCAATGAAGTATTAACAATTCTATAAACAATGAACCTGATAGGCTCCAATGAAGGTATTGAAGTCCAATTAGAGGAGCTCATTGGAAGGAACTTTAAAATTTAAGAAAAAAACGCCTAGTTGATTAGTAATAGAAATTGAAAATGCATTGACTGCCCCTTCTGCCACTAAACCAATGTCAAAGATCTCAAACATTAAACTATTTGAAACAAGTAAGTGCAAAGTTACTCACCACCACAACCTTGAATAGATTCTGAAATAGCTAAGAACTTTGATTGCTAAACTTAAAGAAACAATTAGGTGAACTCAAAATGGAAAACATAGACTATTGTTTGGAATTTCATAAGCTAATAATTTCAAAATACCAGAACAAACATTAGATTTAGATTCACATGATATATGATTACTCAAGAATTGGTACCTCTTCGCACGTTTTGGATCAATCAGGGCAAGTTCTGCAAGCTTAGCAGCTGAGAGGGCTTTCTTGGAATCAGCTGCAGAGATATCTTCTGAACTGGAGACCAGCATCTCTGGTTTGATGCTTGTTGATCCATCCATCGACTGGCTATGTTGGTGCCTGACTCTGGGTCTCTCATTAGAACCGATGGCAATATTCTCCGCAGAAGAAGTGGGCGCTCTCGATGCTGGAACAGGTGCTGCTGCAGAAGATGATGGCTCACCGAATTGAAAGGACGATGTAGCAGACGATGAATTGAATTTTTCCATATCAAGGTACATAGAAAACAAGTCTTCCTCAGTCTCATCTGAAAATGAAGGACCATCGGCACCGCCCACAACACCAAGGTCACTATCAAAGCTAATATCATCTGGAAGGGTCAAGATTTCCGAATGGGCACGTCTATGACCCAATTTCCTTGGTGGGTTATCTGGCATTCGGCTAATGTCATGACTAAAGTGACTAGATTCTGCAGACATCCCATGACCAAAATGACCTGAGTCCGCACTAGCACCCGAGGCCAATGGAGGAAATAATGATGATGAAGCTGGCTCGGGTTTCACATTGAAAGGAGTTCCAGTAGGCAAAAAACCTGAGTACCTGCCTGATGGGGGTGGTAAACCCCCACCATGGGCAGGAGACTTGTCCTTATCCATCTATAAGAAACACAAACCCTAAATTTACCCTCACAAATAGCTCAAAGATACCAAAATCCAAAAAATGCTAACTCGTTCTAAAAAAATCAAAAGCTAAGCCAAAGGATCCAAGATATAAAAAAAGCCAATGTGTTTGTTCGCTTTTGATATATAAGATAAGGGGGTCTCCAATTCTACTGAGACGAACAACAAAATTTGATCTTGAACCTATAAACTCTACAAAGCCTTGAATTCAACACACCAGAGAGCAATGAAAATCCCAGGATACATAAATCTTTCTCCAAACTAAGAGATTCAACCCAATTGAGATACAAAACAACACGTACACACACTCTACAATCAAAAGACTGATACTTGCACAGATACAAACCCTAGGAAATGGAGATCTGATAGGTGCAAATACATACAAGAATTTCAAAAAAGAAAAAATTGAGCCAACACATACAAGAACTTCAACGTGAGCAAACCCTAGAAACCATCATAGAGCAAAGCACAGCAGCTGAACATGGAAATTTTCCGGGAAAATATTGGAAAGTTTGCGGGCATTTTCTCGGAAAATAGGACATGGGAATTGGGATTATTCTTACAGAGGCAGATCTTCGGATTGGGAGCTGGAAGGTCAAAGAGAATCCCACAACTTTAGAAGAAAGCGAAATTCGAATGAGAGCAGTCACATGCAGAGCGAAAGAGATCTAAGAGACAGACAGGAAACGAAGCTTCTAAGCGACGATATAAACGTCTTATATATAAATCTTGATTTCGAGTTTTTAGTGACGCGTTTTTCTTGTTTAAATTAATAAAACAGACAATAAGTTTTTCACCAAAAAAAAGAAAAAGACAATATGTTTCTATTGCAGCTCAAAACGTTCTAGCCACGTTTTTGTGTCTCATTCGCACAAGAATTTTCTCTGCCTGTTTGGTTCTTTATACTTTGAAATTTTGGCCATTTTATTTTATGATTGTTGTTGTTTAACTGATTTTACACGTTACATTCAGAAATAGTCATTCAATTCTTTATGCTATGATCATAATCAAGGCTGATTTTGAGATTTTAGGAGCTCCGAATCAAACCCAAAAAAGAAGCCCATATGCCTATCATCACACGAGAAAGTTATGTGTTTCATTTTATTTTTTTTCTTTTTCTTTTCTAGTAGTTTTATAAGTAGATATTTATAAAAATACTCAATCCTAGACATGTATTTATAAAAATACCCAAGCACTATTTAAACATAGAAACATACCCAAAATGGGTTTTGAAAACATACCCAAAATGGGTTTTGGGTATGTGTGTAATGATGGGTTTTGGGTATATTTATAAATGGATTTTGAGTGTGTGTAATGATGAGTTTTGGGTATGTTTATAAAGTGTTTTGGGTGTTGGGTATTTTTATAATTCCAGCCCCCATTTTGGGTATTTTAGTGAAACTCCCTTTTATAAGACCGTCTCTAGTGGAAAGAGGCGAATGGTGTTTGGAATTCCATAAACAGTGGTAGCCCAAATTCCACCTCCGTTGTCAATCCAACACCTATTACACTTGACCTAGACCAGTTATCTAAGTTAGCATATACCCCAGCCTGCACGTCCATCGAGTTCACTCTACACGTGTGTGGCTGGCAGGGCCAATCCATTGATTTTGGAGGCCTCGTGCAAATAGAGATGTTGAGGTCATGTATATACGAGTAAAATATATTCATAATCCATATATAGAACCAAACACATCCTTAGTGTTATCAATTACATCATAATTCATAAATAGAACCCAATCCATTCTTAGTTACTTCAACTACACTTACTTTCTCATATTCGTAGTCCACTCAATTGTCTTTTATATAATAAAAAAGAGATATTTAGTCATATACCCATTCTTAGCACTAAAATTATAAATAAACCCTACACAATTTAATTTCTATAAACAAACCCAAAAAAAACCCAAAAAATGACAGCTGATCCTATTGAATTTAATTTTGATTATTAAATTACTTTGATACCCTATTGAGTGTTTTGGGCTTTTTTATGAGATTTTGGGGTTGGGTTTAAGAAATCAATGGCAGTTTTGTAATTTAAAAGAAGTTAA